CCTTTGGCGTCACTTTACACCAGTGTTCCCCAACCTTTTTGAGCAGTGGCAACCCTTTTGCTGAAACCAATACAAAAGCCTTTATTAACAATGCAAATTAATTCAAATGTAATACAAAAGTGCAAAAAAGTTGGTAAAATCTTCTCACAATTTTTTCTTTTCTCATTGTATTGACATATAGGTGATGTCGAATCATTTCCAAACGCACACCTAATTATAGTCACAACTCCGGATATAATTTACTCAGTTCGAATTTCAATGTCTGCAAAAACAAAGAGCTTGGTCCCTGAGGGCGCCCAAACACTTCCAAATGGTTGTTAAGCGGTATGTTGTAAACTGTCAGATCATTCATTAATTGGCTGTTTGAAATTTCACACCATCTCTGACACCGCTGGAGAGACAGAAACAGATACTTCTTCTAATCCACAGAGTGTGTTCAAAGCGTATAGAAATAAACGTAAAGATGAAATGGCGCCGGATGCCTCGACAACAAACCCGTCAGCGAGGTGAGAATTCCTGATCCGTGAAATAGAGCTGGTTCACACATGGACGCACTAATGGAGCCACTTCCAGACAGTGTTTAGAGATCACACTTATCAAGAGGATTAGGCACATGCGCTGTCATCTATATTTACAAGGCATAATTGTGTACGCAGGAATATTGGGGCAACTCTAATCCTCTTATTATACGTAAAGGACCACTATGAAACTTTCCTTGTTGCTTATGTGTGGGATAGAGTTGTAGAGTGTAACAATGTCTCTCAGCAGCAAACATTTTACAATGCACTTACACTTTGCTATGATGTTGACACATTTTAAACAAATTGAAAAAGAAAAACTAAAAAAGTGTTGAGCAACTGGTTCTCTGACCAGCTGCGCCTCACCGGTTTCACTTTGTACTCAGCGGTCTGCCACGTGTCGCCTGGCCCTGTCCTTTCCAAGCTTTGCACATGGTTTGGGGTACACACCTGGTCCGCACGCCTCTCCAAACTTCCCTCTTTGTGTGTACGTAGTGCCAGGTGACCGGCCAAACCAAGTGCGATTAATAATCAGTACCTCGACAATGACACTAACATTAAACTTTCTTTAACCAGGGAAGTCCCTCTGAGGTTTCAAAATCTCTCTTCCAGGCCTGGTCCTGGCCTTTTGTATATGTAGGGAAAATCCAGCGCATCTGGAGGAAACCTACACAGACACAGGGAGAACATGCAAACCCCCATCATAAAGGCCTTGTCTGCAAGTGGATTTGAACACAGGACCTACTTGCTGAGGAGCTAGAGTGCCAACCACTCTGCCACCGTGCCATTCAAACAAAAGAAAGTGGTTTAAATTGATTAGGTAGAATAGGACCAGTATAAATAGCCGCTGTAAATACACATTTGAAGTTAAACATGTCTTTGTGGTAGAGGAAACTGGAGGAAAGACATGGTCTACAGACACGGAGAGAACATGCAAACTCAGAAAGGCCTCAAGAGCTGTTTTTCCTACAATGATAATAATTCAGGGTAGGTCTAATGCTCTCAAGGAAAAAAAATAAATTACCTTTCTCTAGATCTGATCTGTGAGTTGGGTTGGTAAAGATGACATACTTTTTATCAGAAATGTTCCGCGGTGCACCTTCACTTACAGATGTTTCTCACTCACTTATGCCAGAAAAAAATACCCCAACATTAACATTTCTTTTTTCTTTCATTTTTAAGATTAAGAGATTCTTTATTTGCCCCAAAGTGGAGACATTTCAGTGTTCAGCATCACAAGTTACAGATCAGTTGAAATTCTTGTACATAACACATTTGGTCATTCCCCACAGAAAGAGCCTTCTGAATGTTGAACAATGTCCTTGCGTGTTTGAAAGCCCTTTTTAAATAAAATATAGTATTATTCATTGCGTTCATCTTTTGTTGGATCTGTGGAATCAAAGCCCTTTGAGTCAGATCTCAGCCATGACTCTTTGGGCTGAGAAATGACTGGTGGTTTTCTCTAGTTCACACTTTAACATCTGAAATTGACCACAGAATTGTTGTCTAGTTTAGTGGCAATGGCACCAAAAACAATTATTCTCTGGCTGTATGCGCCTGTGGACAAATATGCAACCCCAGCAGCATTCATCAATCCTTGGAATATGGAATGAAGTAATACGCATTATCAGCAAAAGGAACAGCCATGGTAATTGTCTATAGTTCAAGTTTCCATATACCGTTCAATAAAAAAGTCCATGGTTTACGTTTTACAGGGATAAATCTTCCAAATTAAGTGCACTTTCATATCAGTGAGTATGAATCCAGTGGAGTCCCTCTGTCGGAGCAGTAATGAACTAAGAGCGTCCCCATTTTCCCATCAGCCCTGTGGAGGAGGAACAGCTAAGGCAGTGTAGCTTAATGCATAAAGATGATGGACTGTTGAGCGGGCCCGACCTTAATTGGGCTATAGAGAACGCGGAAATCAAACACTGAAAGTTACAACATTATTCAAGACCTTTTTTTGTTTTTTTACATCTCATTAAAACATTTATGGATGAGTAAAGTTTCACCTGAGTCATCTGGGGATATGCTACTCAACTGAAATGCGTTTGTGAGCTTAGATAATATCTTCATGTCATCCTAACATTTGCCCACATCTCTATCACTGCAGGAGAAACTCGGAAAATGCAGAATATAGTCCATCAAAAGTCAATTTCCTTCTGTAATTGAATTTACACAGTGAAACTAATTTAATGTAAAATTATATTCATTCAATTTCATTCCCGACATTGGTACATTTCTAGGTCTTTGAGCTGCCACCCAATCTTCATGGCAGGGTTCCCGCACTGACCCTCCTGCAGGTGGTGGGTGACATCACGTAAGTCTTTCAGTGGGTGCAGAGCGAGGTGAAGTGTTTTGCCCAAAGACACAACTACAGCAGATGGTGATGACCCGCAGGACACTCAACATTCAACAACATTTATAGACCTTAAACACTGATCTGCCCCTTTAAGACCAATACTAAAATGTTTTCTTTCTTTCCATTTCTTGTGTTTTAACTGTTTGATCCGAGTTGGCGAATGTGTAAAGTCCTCCACGATAATTCCTGTTGTGATTTAGGGCTATACAAGAATAAATTGAATTGAATCAGTGGGAATAGTTGAGAAATGTCGCAGGGGGTCCGAACCCACAATTTTTAGGTCCAAAGATCAATGCTCTACCAACTGAGCCACTGTCAACTTGTGATATCGCAAGACTTTAGTTCAGGGGTCTCCAACCTTTTGGCTCACAGCTTGTAACAACCCCAAATCACATATTTAAGAAAAAAAGCAGAATATTTTGAAAAAGGGACCGTAAGACATAACAATCAATAGTATTACAAAGACTTATATCTCACTTAAATAACAAAAATAAAAATGACTCCTGAACGATTTTCAAATGATCAGAGTTTCACCTGTAGATTTAGCAACTGCATATTTGACAAGAGTCTATTGTAGAAGAATATTTTAAGACATGATTTTGTATGTATTGTCATAGCAGCACAGTGCATGAATACAGTACATGAATATAGAGCTCAAGTGAAAATGCCTGGCTTGTGCTTTGGCCCCATGGAGCTATAAAAGTCCAAACCAGAGTACGTCGCCGCTTGTGTTTTGTTCTGGGTGAGAGCGGTGTGACTGGAATCCGTCTCAGTCTATCAGCGGTGATTTTGAAGTGCAGCAGTCTTCTCGGATCTGAACTGCCCTTAAATAACTTTTCTCTAACACAAAAAGATTTTCACACAACAGCCCCAGGAAGAAGTAGGTCTGCAGTTTTCTGTTGACTTTCATACAGGGTTGCTGTCACGGAAAATGGTCCTGCTTTTCAATAATATGTGTAGCCGAAAATGTTAACGTAATGGAACAAATTCAATAGACAGAACAGAGCCATGGTTAGTTTAAAAATATGTATATTTTTTCAGAATATCTTAAAGTCTTTGACCCTATCCATATTTTAGACCTACAATGTTGTTCAAGTGCCCCAGAATCTAATTCTGTTTTATAGGATATTTTTGTTGTCCTAAAAAAACCCGTATTGGTTGACATACCTATTGTGTGCCTGTTTTCACCAAACATATTGAACACTTAAAAAAAAAAAATCGAATATTCTCAGAAACTTTTTTATTATTTCAATTTTATCCCAGTTTGTTAAATTAATGGTAAACCTCATTCCAGAAACAGATGTTGGAGGTGGCACTGTTGAACTTGAACTTTTCAAATATTTATGTTCCTAGCATAGCCTTGATCTTCCTGAAAGATCAAGGCTATGCTCACACTCAGAGAGCAGCCGCCCTCCTGTGGACTCACCACCTGCAGAGGGTCAGTGAGGGGCTGGTGCTATGAGACTTGGCATCTCTGACTGTCACCCCCCTGACCCAGAAATGGATTAAAGGGTAGAAAATGGATGGATGGATGGAATATTTATGTCAATACAACATGTCAATGCATGGCACAGTGAGAACATGCATTCTGTTAAATGTCTTAACTGTAACAAAATAGTGCAAATTTTTGGACTACATTTTGCACTATTATGATTAAAAATACCAATAATCAAAAAAATATTTACCAAATTGTCTCTCGTCCAGGCATAACCCCCAGCTGTAAGATTTACTGTAGAAGAATATGTAAAACAATGAGGAGAGAGCCTGGCCTGTCGTTCAAGAGATGATTTGATTGCTCCATTATTTCATCGTAACCATTGTTTTCTCCTTCCAAAAAAAATATGTTTTATGTATTTCAACATGGAATCATTATTATTATTATTATTATACAGTCTTCTTTTCTGCTGAATATAAACATTCCCTTTCTTCAAACCGGCACAACTGCATCTCACATAATATATTTTTTCCCATGTCAACAGCCCATCACACGCTCACACTTCTCGACATGTTTCTCCTTGTGTCAGCAAACTGTAACATGCACTGAATAAACAATATTATTTGTAAACACACACAAGACTCCATGAATACAAATGAATCATGTCCAGCGTCAAAAACAATGCTCAAACCATTCCCAGCGCAACTCTGTCCGCCGCCATCGCCCCTGGTTTCACCGAGATCCACAGGTCGTCCGTGTTCGTCACGCTTTTCTTCTTTTTCGTGTCTGACCTAGCCTTTCTCTTGGAGTCCCCACAACAGCAGCAGCATCCTTCGCCATGGCGACAGCAGCAGCAGTGACAGCACACGATGAAGGCGCTGAGGATGACGAGGAGGGGCAAGGTCAGCAGGACCACGAGGCACACGGTGTTGAAGACGCCTTGGTTGTGCTTGTCCGTCACAAAACTCCACAACTGCGCGAAAAAATCCTCCACTCTGTCCATTTTTGAGAAGGCTGGGAAAGTGTAATCAGTTTATCACCCAATATGGTGTAAGAGACCGCTTTAAGAGGAGTCTGACACCAAAGTAATGAAGAAACGGCTAATTACCGCAGCCAGACGTTTTGGTGACGTTAGCTTTCATGTTCTCCTTTCTGATGCTGCGGTTTGTTTACGCAAGACAGGAATCCCCACGAGCCGTCTTTAAAATATCTGACACAGTCCAAGCCCAGCAGCATTTGTTTATAACTTAGAAACTTTTAAGTCTGTTCTGACAATTCTTATCTCAAGGCAGTCAGAGAGAAGTTTGTGCCGTTTATGCATTGCTCTCACATTTCCACGCTTCGCCCTTCCCAGTTTCCCTCTTCCATCCTTGGCCTTTTGCTTTGGTTAAATCCTGTTCTCTCTTTGGGCGTGTCTCTGAAAAAACAACAAAGCACAAGAAAGTGAGAGATGTTTTACCTTGTCAGCTGCCGCCCATTTATTCTGTTTCATACTATTGTGTTTACAAAACTCATACATTACAAAACACCTATTGCGTTTGTGTGTTATGCAAAACATTACAGAAAATAATTTCATATTTGTGAGAATTTAGTCTCAATTCATGTTCTGTTTTATTCTTGTGCATCTACCAGAGCACTGACATTATGCATATTTAATTGTCTTAATGCTACCTAGCATATTAGCATTAGCACCGAGCCGCTGTTTATTTTCTTAATCAAAGCCACCTGACTTTCACATAAAATAACTCCTGAATCAGTCTGAGGAGCCTGAGGATGAAACTGTACCCGGGCCTCATGGGAAGGAGCTCGGTGCTAATCCTGATTAGCTTAGCTACGGAGCTATTTAGCTAATTAACTTAATTCATATGAGACAAAAGGCACAAACAGTACAGTGTGTGATTAAAAGTTCACTTGTAGACATGGTCTGAGTCTGTTCATACCTTTACACCTCATTCCAAATTTTTGTAAAAAAAATAGTTAGTGTTGACAATTCATTATGATATGGAGAATACAGTATCTATTTAGTGAATTTGGACCTAGAACTAAATCTCACATACATTTTGTGGACATATGAAAAAAATACAAAAAATAATTTGGCTTTGTTAGAAGAATCCAAATTTCACAAACTGTGTTGTTCAAATTAGTAAATTTTCTGTTATTACTGCAGTAAATTCTCTCTGTTCATAATCAAGTATAAAAACACAAACTAAACTTTGTTAAAAAATACATAAAATAAACAGTGTTATTCCTTTGCTTTATTGTCTTATTCTTTTACTTAAAGAATAAAAACTGAAAATAATGTTTGAATTATTTGAATTTCACTGAAATACTTTAAAATTATCCAGTATTAAACATTTAAAATTGTGATACAAATTTCTCCTACATATTATAGTACACCTGTCCAGAGCACTATATAACATGGATGTGCCCACCCATGTCTTTGTCCGTGTCTGGAGGGTCTAGACTTTGCAGTGAATGTCAGCTCCACATTTTCAGCACTCCCTCTCATTAATACTGCACACCACTCATTGAGGATTCAGGGCGGGTGGCACGGGTCTTGCTGAGGATGAGAACAGGGCAAAGACAGAGGAAACAAGGGGATGGGAAAGGTGACGCTCTGATGGAGGCAACATCTTTGTTAAAAAACGCCTGCAGAAAGTCAGGAGGAGGAGGAGGAGGAAGAGGAGGAGGAGGAGGAGGAGGAGGAGGAGGGGCAGAGTGATAATGGCTCCCACCGGACACTGGCCATCAAATTTGCACCTTTTTATGAATGCTAGACCGCAGCCCAACACTATACATTTCTTTCTCGAAACTGATTCATTTGAGTTTGGAGTGACCTTCTCATAGTGCATTTGTAATACTGAGCTATCGGTGTGACCTATAGAGACGAACAAAGCAACTTCATATTGTCTGTGAGGAGATGTCGCTGCTTTAACACGGATCCTGATAGTATTGGTTGAATGCAACGACAACATCTGTAAGTGAAAATGAAAACAGACAAGCATTCCACAGAGATATACTAAGTGCACCGTTTAATAAGAAATCTCCAGATTGAGGTTAATATGTTATTATTTCACATGACATGAGTAAAAGACCACTCCAAGACAAATCAAGTGTTGAAATTAAACGACAAAGTTAAGTAACAATAAGCCAGCGGGAGGAGACCCCAGGAGAGACCCAGGACATGTTGGATGAGCTGGACTCGAGTAAGTGTGCGTGCATAGGGATGTCTCTGCTTAGACTGCTGCTGCCGCAAACAGAAAACAGATAAAGCGGAAGAAATGTTGTGGATAGATGTAATAATAAGCAACTTTGTCCACTTAAGTTGTTGGATTGAGTTGATAAAGTGAATTAAAAGAAATTAAAAGCCAATCACATTAACTAATCAGACAGAAATCATCACTGTTATGTTTTAAGACATTATCAAGCTGAACCACTATTTCTCCTCTAGTATTCATGGTATACAAGTACATTATGTATGTGCATGTCTGTCCATGTTGTTGAAAATATTCTGCACCTGCAAAGTACGAGAAATGTAACCACAACAAAAAAATGTGTGAAAAAATGCAACCACACACACCTTTTCTCTACAGGAAACTCAGCTCATCTCAAATGAAATGAATGAATGAGGAAATAGAAGGTGAAATCCAAAAGTAAAATGGAAGTGTATAACTCACTAAAGACTCGGTTTAACTGAAACATATTGTTTTACTTTTTAAAAACTGTTTTGATAGATGTTTCTCCGTCATTGGTACGTTTTCCCTGTGAATGTGGCCCCCAGTGTCTCAGTAGCGACTGGTGCAGCGCCGGGGGACTAGCGTAAGCCTTCAGTGCATGCTTGGCTTGCTTGAGGCCCTTTCACACAAAATAGTGTCAACCATCAACCTCACAGGAGAACAATAACAGTATTTATTTTACACCTTAGCACCATTTTTAGATAATGCGAGCTCTGACTAACGCTGTGTCAGAGCTAAAGCTTTTATAAAGAAAGAATCTGTTTTATAATGTTAGTGTCTGGTGAGAACAATGCACAAACTATTCTTCTCAAAGACAAACTAAGTGCATCTGAAAGGAATAATGCGATTCTTACCTCCTCTGTAATTGTCTTATCCACAGGCTTTGTAGAGGCTCTTAGAATAGGTTCCATATAATATGAATGTTAGTCTCAATGGTTTGAAAGCTGCCTCCGCGGATATTCAGTGGCAATGCTAACCATGCTAAAAAATATGTATTTTACTGCCAAATAATTCCTTTTTGTTCAATGTCTCCCTTTTATGTTCAACTTCTTCCTTTTATGAACATATTACAAGCATACATGCACAGATTGTAAGCTCTAATTATTGATCCAAACTCTGCAAGCAACATTTTTGAGTCTACTGTTAGGGTAAAGAGCATACATTTTAAATACTTTTAATACCATTGGAAAGATATAGTATAGTGAAAGTGTGAGTATAGGACAGTGGAAGCTACTTCAGTTCATTTGATCAACAAAAAATATGTGATATTTACATTTTACCAACACATCCATATTTTGTAATTAAAGATTTAAATGGTAAAGTAATTCATGTATTATTGATAATTTCATAGAAGAATTCTCAGTCCAGCCTTGTACAAAACAGCCAAAGTTCCAGACAGACATTTTTGCCTTTGCGGTTATTGACAGGGCTGCATTACTGAGTTCTACATGAACAACTACATTTCATATACAAAACACCACAATAACCAAGTCGTAAAAAACACAAACAAATGGAACAAGTTGAACAGTTTTGTCAAGGCCAATCTTGCAATGGAAAAACAATTCAACACTAACTGCATTCGCATCAATAAACCGCAGTTATTAGCCCAACAAAATCCCATTGTTGAATTGTTGTTCTACTGAACGGTTCAATCAATTTGCTTATTACCATGCTAATGTGGGATTATTGGTGTCCGCGCATTCCACATTTTCTCAAGACACTGTACTTTCCTGGACCCGTGCACTCAGGAAGAGGTGAATGCTCTGGACACACAAAGCCAGGAAAGGCCTTCATGAGAAATGTGTTACGGTTACACTGGCTTATCCCCATGATGCTTTTTATGGAGCATATTTGACCTAAAAGGCTCCAAGTTGTGACAGAAGGCATGGCAGGAATTTTTAATGGCATGCCCCCAAGCTCACTGTACAGAACACAGCCCCAGTTTGAGAATGTCCAGGAGGGCCACCGAGCAATATGCCTGCACACAATGATTTTACCTGGTTTTTCTTTTGCATGAAATACATTATCGGTTTCAATAGAAGAAATCATAAGGAAAATGTAAAACATTTAGACAAACTGAACTATTAATGAACTATTTTTTCAACTATTTTCTTTCCCAATGGACACAGAATGATGTTGCATGATTTTTATTTGGCGTAAAACACATTATCTGGTGTTTTTCCTTGAAGAAATATTAATTCTTAGGAAAATTCAAACCGAACAGCAATTTTATCTCTTATTTTCTCGGACACAGAACGATGTCTGATCCACACTGGTTTTCATGTTAATTTTTCCAATTTACAAAGTTAGTCATATGTTTTTCAGGCGACTTAGACCCTGTCTTGTGATCTTCCTGTGATTGTCTTGTTTTTTATTTTTCACTATCTCTCAGGCGTTCCAGGAAGATCAGATTAAGAAGATTATTATAACTCCTCACGAGCTCTGTAATAGCAGGATGAGCCTAATGGTACATACACAAGGGTTGTCAAAAGTATCAAAAATCAGATATAAAACTGATTCTATAACGTGTATTTGAACAAGATATTCATTTGAGCAAGTGTCAATACTATGTTATAGAATGGTTTTGGCCTTCATCAGAACTAAGACTTGTGGTAACACTGGAAGTAGCATTGATTTGTTGTATATAATGGCAGAAATACAGGTTTGTGTCCGATTTGTGTTAATGTTATATTTAAATCATTGCTGTTGTATTGGAATGGCTAATATCAAGTCTATTCATAAAAATCAGAGAACAGAGCCTATATTTGTCCAAGAGAGGTGAAATATCAGTGTTGCAGTTAGCATAACATAACTGTAGGAATACAAGGAGCATACGACACAAGAAAAGAATATTTGTAAATCTTTATAGAATTACTCTTTGTGGGTTAAATCTCAAAAAGAAGTATAAAACTATAATAATGCAGGGAAAGTGTCATTATCATAAGTTTTAGAAAAATAATTGAGTTTGAAATGGTAATATAATAGTAAGCGCTCTGCTGTGTGCTGTCTTCTCTGTCTGGTGCTCACTGGGGTAGTCTTGCACAGTTTTTCCAATGTGGTTTTACTGCAAATGGCAAATATATTCTTGAAATCGTGAATAACACTAACGCAAACCTATGTCAAACTAGTCTAGCCTGTCACCAAATACTGAGGCACAGGCTGATTTGATTTTTCAAGAGATATTTGTGCGTGGCATCCTAAGGAAAAAAAAAGAAAAAATATCATCAGATCATAGATGGAGGAGATTGTATAGCGTGGCTCTCCATCTCAGCTCCGAAAGGCAGGAAGAAATGCATCTGCTTATCTTCTGCGCCTGTCACACATCCTGACAGAAACAGCCACAGGAGCGCGCAGCCAAAACAACTTTTCTCACAACTTCAGCATGAATAAAAAAACTTTCTCCTGTTTGAGAGTTCTATGTAAAGTGTCAGGTTTACCTTTTCTCCAGAAGGCCAGATGTCCCCAGAAGCTTATGCTGTTGAACTTTTGGCTTCCAAGTTTTGTGCAGTTCCGCTTAAATACAAAAGGCAGATCTCAACACAGTCTTCACTTTCTGTTCCTCATGTTGTTCTGCTGCCCCCACCTCTCTCTCTCTCGCTCTCGCTCTCTCTCTCTCCCCTCTGGTCACAGCGTCACCTCGTCCCGGCCCACTTAGGCTAAGAATGGGCCCTCTGTGCTCCCAGCCAGACTCTTGTGGTAACACACTCACACATGATGTCAGCCCAAAGGTACACTGCGCCAAAGAGGAGGAAATAACAATGTGTCATGGATTATTTACAGCTTTGTGCAAAATACACATTGTTATCGGCAGGTAAGCAGGTCAAAAATAGCCCGCGTGACATTACTTAAAAAAAGGAAGGGGTTATCAGTCAAAGGAAGACAATTTAAAGCTGCATGGTGGCACTGACTCATGCTTGTTACCCTCAGAGATGAAATTTCTCTTGCTTGCAATGTACTTCTGGTATAAAACTTATTATTTCATTATGGATGCTTTGAATGCTCCAAAACCTGTTGTTTTGGGGGGTTTTTTGTTTGTTTTTGTATTGGGTCGGCTCTCCTCTCTCTATGTCGTTTTTTTACAGAAATGTGGTTTTATGTCTTACTTTTTGGGTGATTGAGATTGATAAAGCAACAACCATTTCTTTCACTCATTGTCTGTGGTTTCTATTTTCTATTATTAAATCATAATAACAACAGAAACTCCCCCTCTGACCCTGATCAGAAGTTTTCATCCTCTGCTTCTCAATGGCGTGTTTTTCAGCTTGTAGCCTGTTGTGGTAGTTGTGGATGGGCCTTGTTGTCCTCTCTGATGCTATAGCTGTCCTCCTCACATGAAGTACACATTTGAGATTTGACAAAGTGGTTACAGTGGTTTGGCAACGCAACCACTGTATTACCTTGTATTAGCCTTGTGAAGTCACTTGCGTGCCTCCAATGCAGATTCAATGCTGAGTTGAATGGAATATTTGCAACATTTTTGGCAATTTGACAAGATTTACTCTGACCCAAGCAAAAAGGGGACCCTCCACCAGGATATTTGCGTTGAGCAGCTGTAACATAGAGTGCTAGACTATTACAAAATCATACTAACATGCAGAAATACCTGATCTTTGTCTGTGGTGGTGGTGCCAGCATCGGAGACGGCAAAAGGTTCCACAAATTGTAAGTATACCTTGCACCTTTGTCCTATGTTCCAGTATCGCAGTGAAGCGAGAGAAGGTAAAAGTTGCTGAATACCCACAGGGTTTGGTCCCTCCACTTTTAGTTCATTCAAGCATTTGATAAAAGTCAGAAAGAGGACAGTATCTCTGTGCCAGGAGGACGGTTGATAGTGAAGTGTTTAGACTTTTGTTTAGTACACACTCGTGCAGGGCTGTGTGCTTTAAACACACTCTGCACAAATGCATGGCCTCAAAACATCTGCAGACTTGTATTGGAGTGAAAGTGATCTGACATGAACACTGGGAGTAACCACAGCGGGGAAAGAAGAAGTACGCACTGCAAAATGTAATGAAATTCATCAAATGTCATACATCTATAGCGTAGTTGAAATTATGACGCCAATGAAATACAACAACAGCCATAGATTGCAATCATGTGACATCACAACGTTCAAAAGTGCCTATAGTTGAAATTTGTTGTGGAGAGTAGCTGGAACATCATTCCTGGTAACTATGGAAACTGTCAGAATATAAAGATAATTTCTTTGATAAATGAATGTTTTTCTCACGTCACGAAACAATTTTGTCAGCACGCATCAGCTATGGTCCAACTATTTTCTCATAAAGCTGTCTGGAAGTGGTGACAATAATCAAACAACACCTGCATAATGTCGGTCAGTAGAAAAGACATAAGAATAATAATGGCATTATTAAATATACATATTGAAATAACATCATTTTGTTTCTGTATTTTTACATGAGAATTAATTTCCACTTCCCACATACAGCCATGAACTCCAACAGATATGCAGAGAGACTAAATTATATCCCGTGGATTGGCTGGACATCAAACTCCAGCGGACGTCTCTCTGAGCCTTGGGGCATAGTTACTTACAAATTGATGAGACAAGCTGCAGCGTGTCTGCAGGTGTGGTGGCGGCACACAGGACAAATGGCAGCTGCCCACCCTCACACTCAGTCCAGCAGGGGCCACACACATCTGTCTCTTTTTGCAGTGTCCAGTCAGCTCCACGTGTGATGGATGACCTCTGAGCTTTGCAACACTTCAGCAACTAGAAACCCCTCCTCATGGTTTAGATGTAGAGCAGACATTTAAATGGGATCGGGCAAAAGTTGAAGAAATGTCATAATTTCTATTTATTATTGAATTCGATGTTACTAATGCAACAACACATCTTCAGTAGAGTGAACCTGTCTCACGACTTCATCGAAAAGGAATTTATCCACAATTTACGAGGTTTTTATCAGTTTGAAACAACCAAAGTTTGAGGACATTTTGACTTCTTTATCTGCTACTAATGCCCGTTGTTGGTCCACTTTTGGATATTTCATGACACTTTGAAGCAACTATGGTTCAAAGTTCTAACTCTTCATTCTTACATATGCAGAAGCCAGTACTTTTCCACTTGATGTTTTGGTTATTTCAAGGTTGAAGCTACTGCCATCGCGGCGAAAGCTGATTGGACGGTGTTCATTCCTCTGCTGTATACAGTATTACCACTTGCATTTTCTTGCATCCTTGTTCGTGCTCTACCATCAACAATAAAACATGTCTTCTGTCTGAATTAAAGACACGATCCTAGACTTTGTCATCTTCTTCACACTCACACCACACAGAGATGGGAGCGAGGTTGCCATATAGGAGGGGCTTGCCAGATATGTAGTACATGTCTTTAGTGGTAGGTGAAACCGGAGGACCCGGAGGAAACTGGAGTACCCGGAGGAAACCTTCACAGACATGGTGAGAACATGCAAACTCCATACAAAAAGGCCTTTCTGGAGGTGGAATCGAAACACCTTCTTACTGTGACCCCCACCCATTTATGGAGTAATACGCATTTTCTTCTTTCACATTTTGATGCTTTGTTGTTTGTATTTTTGCTGTTTCATGAATGGAATAGCTTTGTTTTTCCCCCCTCACAAAGCCAGCATCGTTATTAGACGTATATGTTGGCGAAAAAACTTTGTGACATCGGAATAAACCAGCTTCCGCTCCATCTCTCTATCTAAAAACATATGGGCTTAATCTTGCAAGCAGCAGAGTCAAAGTGTCAAAGCAAGAAGCAAAATCATGAGAGCATGTTGACAATTACATTAGCATTTTACGCGTGTGAAATATGACTGTGCGTTGTTGATGTATGTGGCCGGTGACTCATAACACTGAATGGAAACTGCTGTCGTTGTTTTTAATATAATTCCTCTAATCCATCACGCTCATCCTTCCTTATGCTGTGCCTGTGTCGCCCTAACCTATGTGGTGCACGTCCCGCCTCCTCCCTGTAACCCTACTCTCCGTGTACACTCCTCTGGGCCCTAATGAGTGGAGATTTCCATAGAGCACTTATTGAGTTCACCTCTGAGTGAGACAATGCAGCCTTTTATTCTGCTGGGGCCCACAGTTGGACAAATTGCAGGAAAGACCCAAAGGCCCACTCCGGATCACTGATCACACAATCGCAGTGGAACATTACGAGTAGCATTAGGCAAAGGCGCATAGAATTACACAAGACTAAAACTAACAACTAGGATTTACACATGGTACATTGGCACGCTGCAAAAACGATACAAAATGAGGTAATAGTTGCTTGAGTCGGGTGATTTTTATCTTAATTTGAGCACATTCTAACTGTCTTAAAACAAAATTTGTCAATGTGACAAAGCCATTTCATCTAATTTCAAGGAATGTTTCTTTATTTTCTCATTCCAAGGGAGACAGTTCTAGTATGAAGATATATTTAGCCAAATCTGAGCAATTTTTGACTTATTTTTCATCCCTTTTTCCAGTATACACAATCAAAGTTTTTAAAGTTCTTGATTAAATCTATAGGAGGACAAGAATCTGCAACTTTTCTCCGAACCAGAACAAACCAGCCGTTCTAATACACTGCTGCGTAGAAAGTTCAGAGACCTTTTACAGTGATGAAGAAGGCAAACACAGATGAATATTATGACCATATGGCAGCATCTTGAGAGATCTCATACTGTATGCTGTGTGTCTGTGGCTTTTTGAATAGAAGTGCTAATGGAATGAATCATATTGGAATCTAACAAGTGTCCAGAAATAGCCTTGTTATAAAACTCCAGTTCCCTTGAGGTGGCCCCCATACACCAGGATTCAGGCCTGTTAAATGTTTGGCCTGCATCAGTAGCGGTACAAGTAAAACAGTCTTGTCGTCCTTTTAAGGTAACAGTGCACGGTTTGGTCCCATATACGCCCCGTCCTTCTCTGGAACTATTGGCTGGCATGTAAACATTACGCCTGGCACGGCAACGGAGCTGTTTTCACTTACAATGAGGTCACATGTTTCACTCAGACCTGGTAAGAGCTGCAATAAGTTACAGTGTGTTTTGATTATGTGCCAGAAACAAAAGATACAGTAATGAAACTAAAAGCTTCTTAGGGGATTTCTCAGTTCCTCTTTACAAAGAAGTAGCATTGCCACATAAAGGGGAAGTCTACTGGAAAAGCTGCCTGGGTCAAGAGAGTTTAGATCCCAGGAGGACGTTTGCATTTTACTGTATTTTTTATGTATTGATGTGAAAGTAAAGATATTTACTGTAGTTATAAAGACAAGGAACGTCTGTCTGTGTGTGTGTCTGTGTCTGTGTGTACGTGTGTGTATCCAAGCTGGCACACACACACACATTCTTTTATGATGCTTTGAAAGAATAGACTACTTGAAAATTACAAATGATTGTCAAAAGATTGGGCTTTAGAATGGTCAAAACGCAAACATTGGTACAAAGTTGATTGAATTTGTTTCTTCTTAACCCTTTAGTGGTTTCCTCAACCCATTGCTGGGTTGCACCTGACGTCACGCAGCAGCGCAAAAGTGCTCCGAGGGACAGGAAGTAAATCTCCCCATTAAGAACAATGTAAAAATGCACTCATTCCGAGTCAAAATGCTCTTTTACTGTGGCGTGTACAGTTGTGGCAACTGCTCATATCAAGTGGGGAACTCAGCGAGTCCCTATTTTGCGAAAATGTATTTCTATCTATCTATCAATTTTAGAAAAATGCCAAACAAGGAAAGGAATAAATATGTTAGCATTAGCCTGCGTAGCATCCGCGGCCGCAGACACAGCTGACTGTCTTTACTTCGCTGACTTTCATAGATACGATGCAGTATTTTTGTGTGGTATACGGTTGTAGTAACCGAGGCAACAGAGAGAAAGAACTGTTAAATACATGTTTAATGCCAAACCAACATGTACATGTGTAAAAAAAAAAAAACATGGCAGGTTGTACAATCTTAATAATGAAAATAATGCATCAGTTTTAGCCACTGTAGCCACAGCTGCCCTGGGACACACTGACAGAAGCGAGGCAACCAGTATGTGCCATCGGCTCCTCCGATCACCACCAACCATTCACACACACACCAGACTCATTCTAGGCAATGGGGGTGAAGTGTCTTGCCTAAGGACACAACAGCCCACGACTGTGAGGACCAGGGTAATGTCTGAAGTTTTATCGGAGTTCTGTGTCCCCGGGACGACTGTGTTCATTGCAGCCCCCATTGTTAGCTTAACGCCACGGAGCTATCCCCGGAGAATAAATCCGAACTTTTTGTCGTTTACAGCTCAACAAATCACCAAAATGACAATAAAGGGTCATGTTTCTCGCCTCAAATGTTGTTAAAAGTAACATTTGTGCCCTATTATTGTATTATTGATCAGAACTATCATCTCAGACGTGGTTCTGTTGATCCCAGAGTGACGAGCTCCACTGTCGTCACTATATCAGCTGCTTAATCCTCCTCATTGTTGAAAAAAATTGTCTCATTCAAACTCTACAAGGTGTACGCTGCATTGAAAATATTTCCTGCGTGTGCGTTTTCCTGCATCGCCCGTTCTATTTAATAGAAGAAAAATACTTCCTGCCCGAAGGCCCCTTGCCATGCCCCCTTTTGGTCACATGGTTGCAACCCAGCAATTGGTAGATCACTTTTTGAGTCATTATAACAACCATTTGGTAAAGGCCTACAAACAAAATTGGGGTTAACAAAACTAATAATTTGTGCTCCTACATTTTAGAAAATCCAAAAAAGAAAAAAATGACACTACTTAAAGCAAGGGTGAAATGTACTGTGAATATATTAATGCATAATAATCTTACCATTTCCTCTGGTGCTACATTTTCTTAGTTCGTGTATGTTATGGACCGCCCCAATTTTAAAAAAAAGTCTCACAATATTTTTAAACTACACACAGACAATATGGAATTCATGTACACGCTGGAACACTTATCTTGACATGTTGAAGTCATTATCTTTCCAAACAGACTTTGTTTATTCTACATAAACTTGTTATATGAAACCACAGACAGTAGTGTGGTCAGAAGAGGGGCAGAACACTTCCGTTATTCTCCTTTCATTATTACTGAAGTGACTCATCTGTATGCAACATCCCTGTTGTTTCAGCGCTGGAGATCGCCACTGACGGAGAATATTAATTTCTCATTTGTACCAACTGAGACATTTGACACAGCGAGCAAGTTCAATTAAACAGTTACTGTGTGCGTGAAAACAGCGAGCTTCTGTAATCATTCATCATTTAGATCAGCAGGACAGCCAGGGCTTGGGGGGCATCGTTTGGAAGTAACACTATAGTATATTTGACAGGGATGGCTTGGCATTAATAGTGTAGCAAAGACATTTTTACATATTGTGCATGTTTTAGTGGTAGGAGAAACAGAATACTTGGTGGGAACCTATGCAGACACAGGAAGAACATGCAAACACCACCAGGTGTCTAACCAAGCCCCGGCGATCCAAGATGCCGCCGAATTCAAATTAATGATCGCAAAGATCCATGGGAAACTCGCAAAGATCCATTAGAAACTCGCTTGTATTTGGGCATCGTCTGGTCCTCCCGGTTCTGCGTAGTGGGTGATCTCCCATAATGCGCTTACGCCAAATACGTCTGTGGTTCTCGTGCACGTGCAAAGAGGGGCTCGGCCGCACTCTGACCAATCAG